CGGGGATAAATGATCTGTGTCCTTCCCTGCCATTTTTATTGTGTATGTTCAAAGTTGGTTGAGGCTTTTCAGATCTTACAGATCATTTCCCTGCCTTTCAGGATGGGCACATCTGACTTGAGTGTCAACTCTTTATTTAAGCAGCTCAAGAGTATTTGCTTTCTGGGGCTGTTTATTCCTGAACCCCTGCCTGGACACTCACCCTTTCCCTCTTTTAATGCACCAGTTCTGTCATGGCCTTTCTGCTCTTCCCTCAACTCATCTCCTCCCACCTTTGCTTTGCTTTCTGCCTCAAAGACTCGGGGGTGAAGCTTTTCAGGGCTTATCCTGACCGTGTTTAGGACTCTCAGAGGTGAGCAGGGGCTGCAGCTCAAACCCACAGAGGTTATAGACACTGAATTAATTTTTAAAGGTACACTGAGACTGCAGAGCCTCAGCAGCAGCAGAGATGTGTGTGTTCTGCTTGCACACGGGTGTGGGTTGTGTCCCTGTGGCTGCTGAGCCATCTGCCAGGGGCTGAGACCAGCACTGTCAGCCAGACAGGACTGAAAAGGAAAGCTCTGCTGGCCTGGGGCCCAGAGGAGAAATGCTGTGCTCTGCAACTCTGCAAGGGATTTAAAGGCTCTGACCCAGGCTGCAAGTCAGGATTTATCCCAGTGAGGGGGAGGACTTTCTCCTTGCTCCACGGGGATGAGGAGGGTTTAGCATTTTGGGGGTGGAAGAGAGGGGATTGTAAGGTGAGCTGAGGTAGCCCTGCCAGGTGTGGCCTTCTCTGGTGTTGCCTGTGATGAGGCAGTGATGAGAGTGATAAGCAGCCACGTATGGGGAAGGGTGTGTGAGCTTTCTGTCCTGTGTGGAGCCTCTTGCTGTTGGGGAACCAGTGACCAACAGTCCCTGTGCAGCCTGAGTCACCCTGGCAGCTCTGGCTGGTGTCAGACCCACAGCACCTCACCTGCCTCCCCTGGAGGCTGCACCAGGAGCAGGAGGAGTCAGCAGAGGAGCAGGGTGCCTGGGGAAGCAGCCACCAGAGAGAAGGTGCATGTGTTGAGCTGGTCTCCATTCATTTTTGCCTTCAGAAGTCAGTGGTATCAACCCCTGCATGTCAAAATGACAGGAAGCAAACTTAAAATCCAGCCTTGGCAGCAGACGTTCATTTGCTCTCCTTGTCATTTGTAGCTGGTGCCCCAGAGAGAAAATAACCTCAATATAATAAATACATGAAGAGGCAGCAAAGAACACAGGGGTGGCAGGGGCTGCTTCAGCTCACTAGCTAAGTTAAAAATGAAATGACATATTCTTTATTTTGTATTAATACACTGTAATTGCTTTACAGAGTCCAGCATATCAGTTGCATGTAAATACTACAGATGAACTTGCCAAACTGGAGCTCACAAAACTAGTGCATTTATCCCAAAGCAGAGACTAAACCTCTAACTCCTTAAAAAAATACATTAAAACACACTCCAATGGCACCCAAACTCACCCTTTTGGCATCAAAAACTTTTCACCCGGCACCCAACCCCCCAAAAAGGCTGGTGTCAGACCCACAGCACCTCACCTGCCTCCCCTGGAGGCTGCACCAGGAGCAGGAGGAGTCAGCAGAGGAGCAGGGTGCCTGGGGAAGCAGCCACCAGAGAGAAGGTGCATGTGTTGAGCTGGTCTCCATTCATTTTTGCCTTCAGAAGTCAGTGGTATCAACCCCTGCATGTCAAAATGACAGGAAGCAAACTTAAAATCCAGCCTTGGCAGCAGACGTTCATTTGCTCTCCTTGTCATTTGTAGCTGGTGCCCCAGAGAGAAAATAACCTCAATATAATAAATACATGAAGAGGCAGCAAAGAACACAGGGGTGGCAGGGGCTGCTTCAGCTCACTAGCTAAGTTAAAAATGAAATGACATATTCTTTATTTTGTATTAATACACTGTAATTGCTTTACAGAGTCCAGCATATCAGTTGCATGTAAATACTACAGATGAACTTGCCAAACTGGAGCTCACAAAACTAGTGCATTTATCCCAAAGCAGAGACTAAACCTCTAACTCCTTAAAAAAATACATTAAAGAACGTACCACACACACACGTATTGCACTTTTCTCCATATGAAATTTTTACCCCATATACATCCCACCAAAGTCTCTTCAAAGGAGTCTGTAATAGAAGGTAATAAAGCTAATAATGACTCTGACAGTAGTGTACACACTTCTCTCATGTTAGAACAGATTTGAACAAAAAAGCCACTTCAAAGGAGTAGGAAGTGGTGCCCAGTGGGCACTCTGCTGTGTCAGAAGGCATCTGAGGCCTCTTATTCTAATTGGCTTAAAGGAAATGACATGAAATGTTAAATATGTTTTGGTGGAGGGGAAAAGTCAGCCCAGATGACACTAGGAACCACTGGAGCTTCTCCCTCCCCAGCTCTGCAAAGCTTGGATGGGCTTAGATGAGTTGGCACGTCCTGATCAATGAATCACAACTCGAGAACAGGATTATTTTTTGAGTCCTGAAATGTCCAGGATCCTGGAGCTGGATGGGGAAGGAAGTGGTTCCAGTCCTGGCAGTGACCCAGCTCCTGGAGCAGCCCTGGGCCTGGCTCCACAGCTGCTGCCTGTCCCCTCTGCAGCTTTCCCTGCTGAGCTCCTTGCCTGCTTGGGTTAGACATGAAAAATTCCAGAGAGTGTTTATTGTGCTGTGGGGTAGGGAAGCAGGACAGGGAGACTCTGTGGCCTCCCTTTCTCTGCCTGCAGCAGTGAAATGCCTGCCCTGCTCTGCTGCAGGATTTCCAGGCTGGTTCCCTTCCCTTTGTCAGTCACTGCCAGTGTCACGGGGGCTCCCGTGTCCCACCACTCCTGACTGTCAGACAAGTTTCCTTTTGAAGGGAAGCCACAGAATGAACCCCTTTCTATCTCAGCTGTGGAAAGCAGAGCTTCCTAGTCCCCCCTCCCTTGCATCCCTTCAGCAGGGTGTGGATGTGCCCCCTGTTCTTGAAGCCTTGAGAGCCCCTGGGTAGCGAGGTAGAGCTGAGCACTGTTGGGCTGGGTCCAGCTGCACAGCTAGGCCAGGATCACAAGCTGCCTCTCCAGTTGCAGTATCCAGGAAAACCAGGTGCCTTCTTGTTCTTAAACCTTTCCCTCCCTCACACAAGGCAGTGACTAAGGTCCTGCTGTTCCACGTTTCAGCGTGGTCTTATTGCTGTAAATGCTGATGATCCACCTTCCCACCCCCTCATCAGTTGAGGGGTCAATGGCCTGAGCTCACCAGAACCTCCCAGCAAACTGGTGTTTCCTGCAGGTGTGATCAGCACAGTTTCTCTGCTGTTCTTTGTGCTTTAATGAGCCTGCAATTGTGCTTCACGTTTGCCCAGAAAGGGGCTGAACTCTGAGCCCCCTCAGCCTGTGATGTCCCACAATACTTCCAGTCTAGAGACAAAACCCCAACTGGAGATCTAAACTATCTGCAGTTTCCTCAACAATCCTCCCAGGACCTGCATGTCATGACTGGAGACACAAATGCTTGTTGAATTTAGTGTTTCTTGAAATGGTTGATACCTCAACAGTTGGTGATGCTAAATATTGCTGTAATACTTGCAAGGTTATATACACAGGAACAATCAAAACACTTAAGAAAGTGAAACATTTATGTCCCACATGGTGGAACGTGTGCTCTGAAGGGACTTTGGCTGTAGCAAGGATATAAATGGGGTATTGTCTACTCTTTTTTTTCAGAAAAAAAGCACATAGGCTGATAAAGAACTGAAAAAGGCACAGCACTATCACTTCACAGGGGTGTTTGTTGTTTTTTTTTTTAAGCTCATTGTTTTTATCCTTAAGTTCTACAACCCTAAATAATTGTCCGAATATACAAAGCTCAATAAACCACCAGCAACACAGACTGCAAATTCAAAACACAGTTGGTTTGCTTGTTTTTAAAAATGCAACAGAAGAACAGATGGATCCTTTCCAGTGATCTGAACTCCTCCTGGACAGCACCCACCAGGGCCTGCCTGCAGGAGGGCTGAGTTCAAAGCCACCCAGGTGGATTATTTTGTATTTACTTTCTTTTAAATGCCATGGGCTGCAGCTCCTGCTTTCTCTCCTGGTACTTCTGTCTCTCTGTTAGCAAATCACAGAATGGTGAAGGTTGGAAGGTGATCAGGTTCCAACCTCCCTGCTATGAGCAGGGACACCTCCCACCAGACCACTCTGGCCTTGAACACCTCCAGGGTTTCTAATCCTTTATCCTGAAGTGTTCTGACCCCCACCCAGAAGTCTCTACAAACCACTGTGGTGCCCTCAGATCCAGGTCTCTCTTGACTTAAGTCAAGATACCACTTAGCAGAGATCCAGAAGCTTCCCTTAGTGGACAATTAAAGAGTTCTTGGCAGGTTTGGGAAATCCTGGTTACTTCCCAGCAGGAAGTGGAGGCTGCCTGAGATGCTTGGTGAGCTCAGACACTTACCAGGTAGTAGTTCCAGATCAGTGAATTAACCAGCAATTGGACACCAAAGTGCAACTTTCCTTTAACTCCACCTCACTCTACTGTTTCCAGAGTAATACAGTTGCCAAATCTACCCTGAATTTCAATGAAAACTATTGCTTTTATTGTCAAGAAGTACAATGCAATGTGCACTCCCTCTCCCTTCTCCAAGGGAATGTTAGATGAATGCCAGCAAACTCCCCAGTTTTTTTTAGAGGGGGCTATTTCCTTCCTCTAAAATTCACTTTTTTGGCCTCCTATGCAAACTAGGGATGAAACTGCACATTCTGTTCTCTAGCCCCTGCCACCAGTTAGTGGCCAAACACTTCTCTCCACCTCCTGCATGTTGTTTTTTTCTAGTCAGGTGGATTTTCAGTCCCCCCTGTTAATTCAAGAGTTGAAAAAATAACCATGAACTTTGGGGCAGGAACAAAAAAAAAAACCAAACCCAAACACAACACCAACCCCAAAAATTCACATGCTTCACCCATTTGTCCTGTCTTCTCCCACGTTAAGTCATCCCAGGGTGTTAATTCACCAGGACATACCCACTGTGTTGGGGATCTACAGTCTCCATCATTTCACAATCAAAGAGTCCAGGCAATTCTGAGAGGGTTAAGGTGTCGTAGCTGGGCTGGGAGTCGGGGGGTGGTGCTGAGCTGCTCTGGCTCTCAGGCAATGCTACACTGCTCTGTTGTGCTGGGTCCATGGAATACTGGCACTGGTCGGGGTAGTCTGGCTCAGAAGAGGTGACAACAGGCAATTCACAAGTCTGGTAGGAATATTGTAAGGGCTGTGGTGGCTGCTGCACCTGAACGGGGGGCGACAAGCGCGAGGAGCTGGTGATGGGGGAGGGTGGCAGAGGGTCCAGCTGCACCTTCTGGAACGGGCTGAGGAAGGGGTCGTATTGCATGTGTTCTGAGGAAGGCTCCAGCACAGGGCTCAGGGGCTGCTGCAGGCTGAACTGGGCTGCTGGCTGCTGCTGCTGCTCCTCCTGGCACGGCAGTGGCAGTTGAGTTGACCTCGGGTAGGAGCTCTCGGCTATTTGCATCTGGTTGAAATAGGCCTGCAGCTGGGACTGCTTCTGCAGGAAGAGGCGCTTCTGCTGCAGCCTGGGCAGGACACAAACAACCATTATTCCTGCCTGCTGAGGTGCTAGCAGGAGCCCTGCCAGTCAGAGTGAAGTACAGAACTGGAAGCTCTTGTGTATGAAATGTTACAGCAGCCCAGAATCTTCAGCACACGAGGCTGAGGTTACAGGCTGAGGTGTCTGATCACCTAGTGAATCCTCCCTGTGCAGCTCAGTCTCCCCCATGCACTGATTCATTTTGTCTGCCAAGAAGATGCACTGTTCCTGTATTTTAGGCCTGCTCTTCACTGCTCTGTGGAGCTTAGGAGCTGAAGATTTGACTGTCCCTGGCTACTAATGATAATTAATAAAGTCTCCTCCCCCCATGCACTTTCTCTCTGAACTGCACTGTGAACTTTTATGAAACTCCAGGGTTTTCACTTTTACAAACACTAGGAACTGACAACACAAGGTCACAGCTACCTTTGACAAAGGAAAGGTCTCTGCCAGCCAGTTCCCAAAGCATGCAGACATGGGGAGCTCCTACTAACATGAGCTGGCAGAGCTCAGAAAATGCACCTCAAACCTCCTGTTCTCCAAGAACACCACCAAGCTGCTCTCAGTACTGGTAGTTAAGTTCTTGATTAGGATTAATCAACTCTACAGTTGTCAGGAGTGGCCATAAGCTACAAAGTAGCAACAGGTTCAAGGCTTTCTTGGAATCCAGGAGTATTTTTATACCTGTTCCTCAGTCTTTTTGTTCTAGGCAGCATGTAGCTGGTTTGTTGTTTTCCTTTCTGTGATTCCTCTGCAAAGCTTAGGGGTGGTAACTGTCCTGAGCATCTTACCCTGCTTACTCTGTGATGATTGCCCAGTGATGAGCTCATGAAGAGCCTCCAGTCCTTTGACCTGGCAATGAAGATCTTGTCTGCTATAAAACAGTTATAAGGGAATACTCTACATCTATTCACTGAGGAATATCACTTCTAAACTGATCTTGTATGACAAGGAGTTTATTTACTGTCAAGTGATTGGGTTATGGGAATGAGACAGGAAACACCTAAATGACTGCAGGACTTTCCAGCAGGCAGAAATACATGATCCATGTTCTGACTTATGATAAAGAGTGTGATATGTGGGTTATAAAGAGTGGCTGTTTGGGAGGATGAGAGTGAAATGAAGCCCAGCGATGTAAATAGTAGGGTAGCTTCCCCCTGTGCTTCTGTGTGCCCATTAATTAGCACTAAATGAAGCATGAGGGTTGTCCTGGTTTCACTGGGACATGGTCATCAGGTCAGAGAGCAACTGTTTCAGGAGGCAGGTCTGTGTAGTTTCCCCTGGCAGTGTGGGCTGGTACAGAGCTCAGGAACTTGTGACCACAGGGCAGGGCTGTTGTCCTTCTTTTGAAAGAAATCTTAAAAGTGAAGCTTTCCATTTTCAAAGAATTTCTAAATGGACAAAGCTTGTTCCAGTTCTTTTATTACTCTGGATTAAGAATAAAATAACTGCACAGTTTGAAAAGCCTCTTACCTGTGCTCCTGTAGCTGCTGCTCCAGACTACGAGGCAACTCTTTACAGTACAGCTGGCAAGTGTTCTGAGCTTTGGATAGCAGAGTGGGTTTCTGCAAGAAAAGCAGTGTTTTCAGTTGCATCTGATTTAATCTATTAGTGCAGAAAGCAAGTGAAAGAAAATTGCCCTCCTGTGTCACTGCCCATCTCCCTTTTCAGAAGCTGAGCTACTGTCTAAAACCACAGCACCACTGCTTACTGGCTGCTAAGAGTTTCTTTGCAGGATTGTACCATAAAAATGCACAGAAAGTGAAAGAGAAGCTGCAAGGTGGGGAAAAAAAAAGGTTTTTAATAAGCTACAGCTATGTGAAAATTGATTTAAACAACAACAAAAAAAAAAAGGAAGGGAAGAAACAGTAAGCCTGGGGGGTGGACATGGCCTGACCTTAATGGGGAGCAACACAGAGAACAGGTATCCACCAGCTAACTTCAAATTGCTTTAATAACACTGTACAGTAACAGACTGAGCAGGGCAACAGCAGTTAGAGAGTGGTTATATAGGGTGGTTTTGCATAATGAGGGGCAGTGTCTGACAAAAGAAAAATAACAGGGTCATTTCCAATTTTTCCAATTCAGCTTCTCTCCTTCTAGAGAGACATTTGGTCTCTGCTTTTTCCCCGAGCAGGAAGACCCAGCAGGGCAGGCTGGTTGGGGCAGGGAGGTGTGGTACCTGGAGCCTGTGCTGTAGGTGCTGTGTTTCTAAGCTCTGCCTTCTGGGATGATGTGCACCCTTGGGGAAAGCAGGTGCTGCTTCCTGCTGCTGAGGTGCTTCCTCCTGCAGAGAGAACAGGAACAAGTTTCATCCCCAGAAAAAAGGCTTTTCTGCTTCAACCCTTTCCTGCAGGATTTGCCCCTGACAGAGGTTTCATGGTTGGTGTTTGGTGGCACTCAGCAGTGTCATGGCCTGGTGAGGAGTGTAAGTGACACAGCTTTGAGCTGCCTGTGCTGCAAACTGGCAAGGGCTGACACCTCTAACTACAATGATGGGATATAAATGCATTTTTTTTTACCTGCCCTCTGAAATTGTAATTGTATAGGGTGAGAAAATGATCCAAAATGTCTGCAGTTCTCTGCAGCTCTCATAACACAGAAGGCAAAAAGCTTTCCTATGGATGCATGGAGTTGGCATCTCTAGCAAGTTGCAAAGTACTGACTTGTTTGGGGAGGGAGTTGTTGCCATGAGAGCACCATGATGAGCACTGCAGTGTGTTGACATCCAGTGAGAGAACCCTGTGGAATCATTACCACTTTGTGGTGGTCAGAACTGAAGTTTTCCAGCAGTCAAAGTAACAGCTGGAGCTTCATCTGGGACATCAGGTGCTGATGCTGCCTGTGAACTTCTTACTCCTTTTATTGCTGGGGTTGAACAGAAACTTATTATTCCTGTTTGCTTTGACCTGTTCCATTTGAAACAAGTAACTAGGGAGCTGATAGTAGCTATTTAGCATTTCACTATGCTAATCAGGCATCACTTTTGCACTTCTTACAATTCCACCTTACCCTTATATTCCCAAAGCAGAAGATGGAAAGATGGAGCTTAATTTCTGGTTTATGTACTTAACACCTGAAAGATGGAGCTTAATTTCTGGTTTATGTACCTGTGGAGGGTTATTAATGAGGTCCTGTAACTGGGTGGCAGTGGATGTCAGAGAAGGTTCTTCTTCTGATCCCATCTGCTCATAGAGCAACTGGACTTTGTTCAGTTCCAGGATTCCTTTGGTTCGTGCCAGATTCTGGAGGTGCTGTCGAAATGCTACAATTCCTGGAGGAGAGTTGAGCAAAGCCCTGGTCAGAAAACCAGCTCGTTCATCTCGGACTTAGCAGAACAAATACGGGATGAGCTGAGGAACAACCAAGTCCAAAGGTGGCTTGGTGCTTCTGTGCATGGAATGCATGTCCTGCCATGCACACAACGTGTCACAGGAGGGGTGGGGGTTACCTTGTGTGAGGGAGGTGTCAGAAGCTCTTCGCCCCTCTCGGAAGCTGACGGGGGAGCGGTTGTGGGTCTCCCGCTTCTGGGAGGACAGGGCCTGCATGGCTGGGTTGGCAGGTCTCAGGCCTATGAAGGGTGGTGTCATTCTGGGTGCCTGTTGGTTAGTCAACACCATTTCCTTCAAGGAAGGGGTGTTTTCCAGGAATTTCATATCTCTCTGCACAGATCCCATGTCGTACTCGGCATCAATGCTGCCCAGAGATGAGTTTTCATCCAAGGAATAGACTTTCCCTGGGACAAAAACCAAAAGCCAGCATAAAAGGGAAGCCCAGCAGGAACAAAACCAATAAACTCTTTTTTTTAGAGCTTGTTACTGCTAAGCCTGGTGGTTTTGGATCGAGTGCTGAGAACAGGGCATGAGCTCTGAGACATCTGTGTTACCTGTGCCTGGCACCATCACCAGCTGGTTGGTGACTTCTGCCAGGGTGTGACGCCTCTTCCCGCAGCGAGCTGCCTGGAGGGCTGCAAAGGCCTGGGCAGGATCATCTTCTGCTTCACCTTCTGTCTCTATTCCTTCATCAATAGAAGTCTCCATCATGCTGCTGGGCAGGGACTGGCATCCCTTCCGAATCACCACAGGGGGGACAGGATCCAGCAGGCAGCCGTTCACCTGGATGGCCCGGGAAGGAGGACAGGTTTCAGGGATGTGCACAGAGCATCACCTGAAAACTCACCTGTATTTCATCCTGCAGAGATGTGCTCAGGGATGAGACATAAAGTGCAGCCTTTCCAGCACAAGCCCATTTGATTCCTGGTGCTCCTCTGCCTAGAGAGGCTGTGGAATCCCCTTCCCTGGATTCCCTCAACTTGATAACCTCCTCTAGCTTTGAAGTTAAGACTTTGAGGTTGGACTAGAGGGCATTTAGAGGTACCTTTTCAACCTAAAATACTCCTAGGGTTTAAAATCTGCTTTTCTACTCCAAATCAGTTTGTCCTGAATCCTTCTGTACCTTATCTGATTCTCTGCCATATGAAGCTAGAAATAGCTAGAAATATTTTGAGCATCAGTAAAATGATGATGCTTGCACAGGAATATTCTGGATCTGCTGCCTCTATTTTAATTTAATGGACTATTCTATCTTTAAGATTAATTTCTTGCACACCTTTTTCCATTTGTGACTTTCCCATTCAAATGCCTTCTACTGATCTGGCAGCAAAAGCCCTGGAAAGACTATTTAGTGAACTGCTGGAAAGGAAAAGAGAGAACCAATAGAACCAGTACCATGTGGGCAGCTGCTCTCTACACTTTACCATGGCACATAGTTCAGAGCCTGGAATTCTTCAGTGGATATATTCTATACTTAAGGCACTGAATACTCCCAAGTCAGTTGTGACTTGACAGTATTTGTTGTTCTACTCTGGCCAAACTGCATCTATAAAAGCCAAGAGGGATGCAAAATAAAGTTTGAAATGGTATTTTCCAAATGTTTTTGAGCTGCTTTTTGGCTTCCCAGCTCTAAGAGACCACACAAGGAGTTACTTAAAACAGTGATGAGAACCAGGGCCCCACTCTTAGTGTTGGTAACTAACCAGTAAGTGAGCAATAAAAGCTCCAAAATGGCAAGTGTGAAATCAAGCCCTTAGCAGGCACTAGGCAAAATGAAACATGCTGAAATTAAAGCTATAATGTGGTGTGATATGACAGAGAACAACAAAAGCTTCATGAAAATCATAATATACTTCATAAATCTAGTAATTTCAAGCTATTTCCCCTTCCTCACTGTTGAAAAGTAGAAATGAGTTGACTGTAGGAATATTAGGTGTGGAAATCAGAGCCCTCCAGTCTGATTACAGGAAACAAACCCCATGGGATGGAGCTGCAGCTTCCCATGGGCTCCAGTGAAGGTGTTACAGTCGTTCCTCGTTACAGGAATGGCTGCAGGCTGAGATGCTGCAGCTCCAACAGGGTTTGGCAGCCAGAAGGTCCTGCTGACTATTTACCCTTCTGCAAAAAATTAACAAAGATGTAGGTCTCTTGGCTGGCTCACTGTGAAACTGGCAGAGACATTGTGGTGCTTTAAGTGCATGATGTTTTAATGCCTTTATCTGGAAATGGAAGCTTATGGTTAAGGTGCCATTAAACCTTCTCACTTGTCTGAATTTTTGGATGAGGAGCTGAGTGGGTTCCCCTAGATACTCAGCAGTGAGCCCTTTGCATCAGAAGCTCTGGATGAGGAGTCTTCAGGGCTCTTACATGTATTTGAGATGAAGAAGAAAAAAAAACCCACTTTTGTAGGTTGGTTTTTCCTTTACAAAAGAGAGGGTGGTCAGGAAGTGAGGTGGATTAGGAACTGGTTGAAAGGAAGGAGTCAGAGAGTTGTAGTCAATGGGGCAGAATCTGATTGGAGGTGTGTGACTAGTGGAGTCCCACAGGGGTCGGTACTGGGACCGGTGTTGTTCAACATCTTCATCAACGACCTGGATGAGGGTATAGAATGTACCCTCAGCAAGTTTGCTGATGACACTAAGCGGGGAGGAGTGGCTGACACACCAGAAGGCTGTGCTGCCATTCAGAGAGACTTAGACAGGCTGGAGAGATCAGGTATGGGTTTGGTGACCAGGAAGTGAGGTGGATTAGGAACTGGTTGAAAGGAAGGAGTCAGAGAGTTGTAGTCAATGGGGTAGAATCTGGTTGGAGGTGTGTTACTAGTGGAGTCCCACAAGGGTCGGTGCTGGGACCGGTGTTGTTCAACATCTTCATCAACGACCTGGATGAGGGTATAGAATGTACCCTCAGCAAGTTTGCTGATGACACTAAGCTGGGAGGAGTGGCTGACACACCAGAAGGCTGTGCTGCCATTCAGAGAGACTTAGATAGGTTGGAGAGTTGGGCGGGGAGAAACATGATGAAATTCAACAAGGGGAAGTGCAGAGTTTTACATTTGGGGAAGAACAACACCATGTCCCAGTACAGGTTGGGGGCTGAACTGCTGGAGAGTAGTGTAGGTGAAAGAGACCTGGGGGTCCTGGTAGACAGGAGGATGACCATGAGCCAGCAATGTGCCCTTGTGGCCAAGAAGGCCAATGGCATCCTGGGGTGCATTAGAAAGGGTGTGGTTAGTAGGTCAAGAGAGGTTCTCCTCCCCCTCTATTCTGCATTGGTGAGGCCACATCTGGAGTATTGTGTCCAGTTCTGGGCCCCTCAGTTCAAGAAGGACAGGGAACTGCTTGAAAGAGTCCAGCGCAGAGCTACGAAGATGATTAGGGGAGTGGAACATCTCCCTTATGAGGAAAGGCTGAGGGAGCTGGGTCTCTTTAGCTTGGAGAAAAGGAGACTGAGGGGTGACCTCATCAATGTTTACAAATATGTAAGGGGTGAGTGTCAGGGGGACGGAGTTAGGCTTTTCTCGGTGATGACCAGTGATAGGACAAGGGGTAATGGGTGTAAATTGGAGCATAGGAGGTTCAAGGTGAATATCCGAAAAAATTTTTTTACTGTGAGAGTGACAGAGCACTGGAACAGACTGCCCAGGGAGGTTGTGGAGTCTCCGTCACTGGAGACATTCAAAACCCACCTGGATGAGTTCCTGTGTGATGTACTCTAGGTGACCCTGCTCTGGCAGGGGGGTTGGACTAGATGATCTCTCGAGGTCCCTTCCAGCCCCTAAGATTCTATGATTCTATGATTCTATGATTCTATGAAGATTGGGATGTAAGCAAAGAACAAGAGAGGCAGGTGAGTGATCCAAAAAAAGAAGACACAGCTGTTGGAAGGGATGCAAGAGAGAAGTGGAAAGAGAATCTGGAATACCTAGAACTCTGATGCTTAGAGAATCCTTCCATTTAGGAAAACAGGCACAAGGTGTTTTGTACAAGAACTACTACTACTTGTAATGGACTTGCTGAGAGGTACCCAGGAATGAGAACTTGCTGGAAACCAGAGTTCTGGGGACAACTTATGCACAAGCACCTGGAGCCTGAGAACACTGGGTCTTTGAGGAAAATGCTAATAAAAGCAGAGAGAAGCAGGGGGGTTTTCCAGCTCAGCCCACATCCAGACACAGGAGGTCTGCTAAAGTCAGTGAAGTGACATTAGTCTAGATCAGCAAATGCTCTGGCCCTGATGCACCCTACCCTGTCAGAAGGAACTGATCTTCAGTTAATTAGTGAAGAGCTGCAGTTCCAACCACCAACTGTGCTTTTATCAGGCAGTAATTGAAAAGGCAACAATCTCTTTTTAGCCTCCGTGATTTTTGACAAAACAGTAGAGTGATTTTAAGCTGTACCTTTGGTGTCTCAACTCTTTCTTCCTCCATAAATGCTGCCTCTCCCTGACACCTGGATGGAGGGAAGGAAAAGGCTTCTGCTCCTGAAGCTGAGGGAAGACCTGGAGACTGCAACAACCTTGCATTTTGTGAATGCAGGTTAACTGAGGGAACAACAGCTTGTGCCTAAAAAAAAGATGTTAAGAATTTTAGGTAGAAAACAACATAGAAAATAAAACCAACCAGTACCTTCCTCCATTTCCAAAGCAAGCTAAGATTTATTTCCTCATTCTTGATGAACTGCAGTTTTAGTCTTCAGAAAAGCACACACCCCCAAACCACAGATGTCATTAAACTCTCTACTTCATGAAGCTGAGCACTTAGTGCAGTAAAGTCAGTGTTTGGGACCCTTGGTGCCCTCCAACTTCTGACATGCCAGAATTCCTTGTTAGATTCAGTAGAAAACCCCTTCACATTGCCATGAGGCACAGGGCCAGTTGCAGTGACTTTCCTAACAGGCATTGATTCCTGCAGGAAAAAGAATGAGAGAACAGAGCAGGCAGGATCCCCAGGCTGAGCAGAGGGAGACGTGTCCCTCAGGGAAGGCAAGCATGGCACAAGTAGGAAAATAGTGGCTTTCCCTGTTTCTTAACCCTCATTTTCTCAAGTGCAGTATCCACACATCTTGCCTGTCCAAGCAGTCTTATAGAGGAGCCTGTGGTGCCACCATGTGTGAAAACAAATGATCTTGTTACTCAGGATAACTGCAAGGCTGCCTGCAGCCCTGAGGAGAAGGTGGGAACGTGGCTGTCAAGTGCAGGGACTTTGCACAGTGAGGAACTACCTTCTAGGAGGTTTTCTTCTTCTTCCTTGTTCATTCATCTCCATCTGCTTTTAATACATCTTATCATTAATAACCTGCTTTAGAATACTGTGTCTTTCTATCATTAGAACTACTTATTTAAGAAAATAGCTGGTTTTAATCTCTGCCAGCCACATTATTCCTGGACCCCCATTTTTCTAGCTGAAGTGATTTGGCTTTTATTTCAACAGGATCTAAAACCAGTGTCTTGCTGCCTCAAGTGAAAAAAGAGCAGCTTGGTTGCTCTTTCTTGTGGGCACTTGTTCTACACAGCAGCAGTAAAGTACTCAGGAGGCTGTGAACTTGGGAGAATATTTACTTGAGACCATGATCAATCTGAGTCATCTTAGGCCAAGTCTTTCATGTTTCCAGTTATGCATTAATAGAAATCAAAATACAGTTGGACTTGATGATCTTAGAGGTCTTTTCCAACTGTAATGATTCTATAAAAGCTGTACAACATCTGTGCCTCTTAATGAAACAAAAGAACATGTAAAAATATAATTTGAGAATTATTGGAAAAAGACACAATGACCTGTAGATGACCTTTCTTTCTAAAGAAAATTACTAGTAGAGCCTGAATAGCCTAAGAGCCAGGGCTGAGTCAGGCAGTGTAATTAGAGTGGACACTAAGTGGAAGGGCTGGCACCAGATAGAAGGAGCACCCAAAATTGCTCTTGATAAAATACACATGACACCCCTAGGACTCCAATCAGTCAGTCAGTCAGCAGGTTGGCTCTGTGCACAGAGGTTTGGCAACCCTGCTCCAAAGTGTCCATGAAACTGGACTCTTGCTGGGTCACAGGAGGAAAAGTGGTGCAAATTTTAAATGACATTATTTAGGAACACATCTCTTGAGTCCTGAGCTATTAAGAGTTTCATGACAATGATATTTTTTTGGGGACCTAAGATATCACACTGAATTGGCATATTAGCCTGACAGTATTTTCTTTTGGGTACCCCTTTACTGTTATCTTCCATGCTTCATTTCATGGGAGACAGGAAGCCTATCCAGAGAGCAGCAGGGGAGAAAGATCCCTTTGGAGTGACTGTTAACACTGAGTGGCTCCTGCCTGCTTTCAGCCCCCATGCTAGCACAGCTCTCCATAAATTCAGCAGCTCATTTGTCAGGCACATGCAAGACACTCCAAATGTTGCACAGTCTCCAGAAATGGGATTTCTCTAACATTTTAACCCGTGACTTCCCAGCTAAAGGGAAGAGTTACAATGACAGCAGAAGCACAGCACTTTCCCTTTAACTGGGAGTTCAGGCTAAACCAGGGAAACCCATTAAAGACAAAAGCACTGTTTGCACTCTGGGCTTTGGAACAAAGTCACCTCCCCTTTCTCATCTAAAGCTTCTCCAACTGACAGTTGTGACAGGAGGCAACTCCAAAACTGGCTTTCCAAAATGATGCTCCAAGTCTGCATACTCCAGAAATCAGAAAAAAGCAATGGATTTGAAGGGAATCTATGCAGAAACAGCATTTTGAAAGAGAAGAATGTCCTGCTGCTAGGAAGGACACTGACCTTGGCCACTGTCTGCTCAGCGATGGTGCTCGGCCGGCGCTGCCGAGAGTCCAGTCTCTGCTCCACAGGGAAGCTACTCCGGTGGGATTTGAGCCTTTCCACTAACAGGTAGTAGATGGCAGCAAAGTGGTTGTAACTCTTGTTCTGCAGAGACTGAAAAAGAGAAGCACAGAAGTGCGGGTAAGCCTGGAGAAGGGAATGTGCTCCAGGTCCTCCTCGATATATTTGCTTTTCCGAGCCATGGAGAACTGAGCCTTGGCAAAGCAGAGCTGCCAACCTCCACGGTGGTTTAAAGTATCACCCATCCTGAAGGAAATGATTGTGATATAAAATGTGAGTGTTTTTACCTCAATGGTTTTCTGCTGGTCTATTCCCAGGCTGTGCATTAGCCGCAAGACCTGCTCGTTGTACTCCCCGAGGGAAGGCTGGTTCTCTTCTCCTGGTGGATAAAGAACAGGTCTCTGTGCAGGAACCTCTATGAGCATCCACTTGTGCTCCTTAATCTGAGCAATAGTTAACCGTTTGGATGGGTCTAGGACCAACATTCTTCTAATCAGATGTTCACACTCTGTTGAGGGAAAAAAAACAACAACAAACCACAAACCATATATTCACCTGAGAGTGACCAATGCAGAGGGTGATAACAGGACACTGCTTTGTTTCTACCTGACTTCTGGGCTAAACACACTTCCTGCAGGCTAAAACCACCCCTCAAAACAAGATTAGAAGTCATATTAAGAAGAACTAATTTCCCACTTGTTCAAATGCACAGTGCACTCAGTGACATTCCTCCTGCACAGGAGGGTAATAGTAATATCTTTGAAGCTGCTTGTGTTGTTCTAGTGCCACCACCAACCTTACCTTCTGACATAAAATAAGGGATCCTGAACCTTCCCTCAAGGACTCGTTGCCTCAGTATGGGGAGTGTTGGTCCATCAAAAGGTAAAGCTCCACAGACCAAAACATAGAGAACTACACCCATGCTCTGCAAGAAAGAGAAGACTGGTTTCATTTTTCAAGCTCCACGCAGAGTCCCTTGAGGTTGGCTGGCCAAGTCCTGCCACAGAAACAATTATAGAGTCATGTTCTGCAGAAACAGGGAAATTATAACAAAAAACAAAACAGGAGTTCTGAAGATCCCTGAACATTAAGAACACTCAGCTAACCCAGAATGGCTAGGCTTGCAGTACCTTGTGCTGACAGGCAGGTAAGCTGAAGTGTAATGGGTTAGAGACTCTGGCTGCTAGCAGGAAGCTCCACGCAGGTGACTGAATGATACCTGAAAAGTGAGCCCCAACTTCAGGTGAGAATTAATTAGAGAGACTTTTTTATTAATCTCAACGTTGCTCAAACAAAACCAAACCTTGCTCAAAAGAAGAAAGTGTAACCTAAGTGTACCAATCTGCAGGAGCCTGGAGGAGAGGCACACTTGATGAGCAGGGGGACACCAATGAAACAATTCTGCTCTGCTGTGTGCAGTGCTAAGCACCAGGGGTTATTCAATATGAGCAAAAGCAGACAATCTGGGCAAGAGCTCTTCCCCAACTGCCAGACTCATTTTTTAAAGTATGCAAGTGAATTGGCACTGCAAGTGGAAATACTCCTGAAGGATATGCCAAAAAAATAGCTCCACGCTGGATGAAATAACCACAGCAGCCCCTCATGCCAAGCAGCTGGGAAGGAAAGGCACAGCCCTGGGCTTCAGGGGCAAAAACCAGGGGTTCAACATTCACCTTAAAGCTCTCTAAGTATGCAGAGATTTTAAAATTAAATACATATTTTAAAAAAAGGCACTTCCTTCCCTCCTTCACCTGCCAAAACCTGAAGTGTGGCCTGTTGCATCCCTCCTGCAGCCCAGCCCCTCCAGCAGCTCCACTCTGGGAGTGGGTGTTGCAGGGAGACACAGAATCCTTAGCTCAGAGAAGAAGTGAAGACAAGGAATTGATATGACATACCAACATGTGTGCTTCTCTTTGTGGGCAGGCAGATTCTGTTAATCATTGAGGTTCTTAGATTTTTCAAGAACATTTACCAAAGTTCAGTGATTCACTTCTGACATGCAGCCAGTGCCTGTGCTCCTTGAAACAGCAAGCACAGCTGAGGTCAGCTCTGCAGTTATTTACCACTCACTTAAAGCTCAGAAAGGCTGCAGGCTTTTTTTAAAAACATCTGTCTAGCTCCATGTTTATGTATGTATCTAGAGATAGATGCATACACACAAATATATGTATCTAAAAGCTCCATTTTTATTTGCTAACACAATTAATTGAAATTAGCTCAGCAGCTGAAAGGTGACTTTCCATGAACTGTCCTGTTTGTGTAACAGACTCTGACCAAAATGTCCATGTCCCTGTTGTTCTGCTGTGTATTATAACTACTGACCTGATGCCAGAGACCACCACACTGTACTGTCTCTGCTGCACAATAGCAACATTCATATCTTCAGAACATGAATTGATTATTGGAAGCACCAGAATGCTAAAATTAAAAAGCAGGCAAACAAAAAAACCTGAAACAAAACCAAATGAGGAATGAAAAGTGGTCTCTGAAAATGTACACAGAACTTGTGTTCATTTTGGTCTCTCTCCCCTTGCTTAAGATGGGCTGGGCTCTGTCCTCTTCCAGTGCAGTGCATGGAGACACTGACTCCAGAACAGGCAGCTGCCTGCAGCAGAAATGCTTGTGGCACAAACGTGCTGGTTTGCAGCTAAAAGAGCAGTTGCCACCTCTCCTTTCAGTGGCTCAGAATCCCTTCAACCTCACCAAGAACTTCCAGCCTTACTAGTTCCATTCCCAATTAAAACAGAAGGTACTAAATGCACTGAAATAAACCCAACTCAAGTCAGGAGAGCTTCTGGAGGAGCTGCTTCTGGAGGTCTTCCCCTAGTGGGCTAACAAACACCTACAGTGCACATGCCATGGCCCCTGGATAGGGAACTGCCTTCCACTCAGTGCCAAGAGGCATTTCAAGACACTCAAGACATAAAGCTGAAGAGGAACAGCAGCTCAAGAAAAAAATATCAAAGGTGATTCCTTTGTTCCAGCTTCCTAGAAGTTTACTTGAATTCAGTTTAAAAAAAGAGTAATGATACCCAGATATCCAGCTGGGGTCCTTCATACTGCTGTCCTTCAAAGACTTCTGGGGCTGCATAAGGTGGGCTTCCACACCATGTTGTCAGAGGCTCCCCGCTCTTATAGAAATTCCCAAATCCAAAATCTGTTGAAAAATGAAGGAGAAAGTCACTCCAAACTCCAGCTGCTTGATAAAGAATAATTATATGCATGGGCTAGGCCTGAAAGCTCCTTTTGGTTCCATGACAGCCTCTATCACAAATCCTTTCAGCAGTACTCCCACTGCAAGTGTTTACTGGGATGCTGGGTGTCCTACACTGCTATTTTCATCACAACTCTGTCATTATTAAAACCCTGTAAAACTTCACAACCTGGAGGAGTTCTGAGTAAACTTCTACCAGTTTTTTAAATCCAAGTTTACAAACAGCTCCCACTAAAATTCAACAAACTGCCAGTCATGCTCACATACGAGTTCTTTACTTGCCAAGAGATATCTGAAACTCAGTACTGGGGGATGAGGTTTCCTCAGGTTTTTCTAGGTGGTCTCTAAGCCTTGAATACACAACAATTTTTAACAACAAAATTTTATGCACCTTGTGTTGGTGGTTGAGTCAGGTGAGCAACTGGTAACTAGATCAGCCTCAGTTATAGACACATAATCCAGGTCATTCTCTCCTTGTTTTATTCTTCCTTTTTCTAAAGTTCACTTGTAACCTTGACTATTGTTTTGCCTCAAAAAATGCATCTTTAAAACATTTTGCAACATGCATAAAGCAGCTCTTTGTATTTAGGGAGTTCAAGGTATTGATGATGGAATTTGTCTCCCTTAGCAGGGGTTTCAGGGTGTGAAACAACACACCAGCTTTTGCAGGTAGGGACACTGGAAATGAGAAGTTAAGATGAGCCCAAATTCAAGTGACAAATCAGTGACTGACCCAGGCCAGGGCCAAGCAGAACTGAAGGGTCTGGTCTCTGCTGAACAGCAAACAGAAACCAGTTGCTCTCTGCTGAAAACTTTTGCCTCAGCATTTCCACAGTCTGAAATGGAATGCTGGGATTCTGCTGTCAACTTTCTGCCACCTTTCATGTACAGATGGACAATCCCTCCAGCTCCTCAGAGGTCTGTGTGTCTGTGCTGACTGCTCGTGAGGAGCTCCCTTTTCTGGGAGAACTCTCACCCCTCAGTTATTTTTGCATTGACATCAGCCTGGAAACTGAAAAGATAGACAAGTCTTTAAGCTTCATTCTACCCTTTTAACCCAACGTCCCTAAATTAACACTGTATTGCAGACAATCCACATGCTTTGCTACAAGAGAACAGCTTCCACTGCTGTAAGCACCTGGCACAGGTGGAACCCTGAAGAGGTTAAAACTCCCAACACCAGCCCAAGGTCACTGCAGTAGCTCAAACTGAGAAAACCAGATACCCAATCTCAGAGCAATGAACTTTTGAGGCTTGTCCCTAATCCCAGCCCTGCCCAGCTGCCCAGAGAGGAGCCTGCAGTGCCACAACCACTGCCTGAAGGTCACCAGTGAGATCCCAGCAGTGTCAGCAGCGGGTGCGGGTGGCGTGAGCAGTGACGCAGTGGCACCCGGGCATGTCACCACTCTGAGGTCAGCTCACATTCCAAACCTCCACGGGAAACACTGCCCAGAACACTCACTCTGCCCTTCCTTTTTATATCCCCCTTCAGTTCTGAAATATCTGCAACTGCAGCTGTAAAAACGGAAGGGGAAACAGCAAAACCTTCTACCAAAACTTCCCTGTCTCTCACCTGCCTTTCTTCCTATCACTGCCAGGCTTTTGTTGTGGAGTTTTTTTTTAATTCTCTTTGAGATTTTTCTTCACACATAATTGGCTTGGCAACCTTGACAATACTTCAGGAGACATGAAGCAATTTCATCCCTCAGAAGCATCTTGCCATCTGTGTAGGTGTCATTAAATCTGATCTCTCTCTTCACTTATCTTGCATTTGTCAGATATTCAGCATCCTCTTGGTACTGCAGATAAATATCAATCTTCAGCTCTGAACTGCTGCTCCTACTCAGGTGCCACCCTCATAAATCTTCACATCAGATTCACAAGTACATGTATGTGTGTATTTGTAAGCACAGCTATATAAAGTCTAACCTGCTTGGCAATGCACAAGATGCCAGTTCCTAAGAAAATGAAGCTCTTTGCCTATCCAGACTGGATTCAAAGTTAGTTATCTGGTGAATGGGAACAAGTGGAAGCCCCAAAAAACCTCAAATTTGAACAGCAAAAGACAGAACATGGTCCTTAAGTATGAGTGATCAATATTAGAGGAGCTTCATGTTTGTGTTACAAATAGGATTATATATGTTTTTGACTGTTATCTCTACATGCTTAATTGCAGAAGACATAAAGGATTTATTTATGGTTCCTAAAGTAGCTCAAGAGCAAGGACATCTTGGATCTGAGTGGCATGATCCTAGCAAGGCTGTCACCTCTGAGCAGCAGAACTACAGAACTTGGGTTGTGGAGACAGAGCTTGACTGTGGAGCAGCAGCAATTGGCTTCTAGCTCCCAGCTGATGGGTCTGGGACAGCACAAACTCTGGAGTTTTATTAGGCAAATCCCTGAATGAAAGGTCTGTAAATTGATATGGGAGGAGCAGACAAGTTCTCACTCTGTGCAGGCACTAATCCAACCACACTGGCTGCTGGGGCTGGGGGATGGGACAAGCACAGGGGGGACAGGCTGCAGGAAAAGACCAGCCTGGTGCACTGTCCCTGTCACTGCCAGAGGAATCCGACCCAGTATGGAATTCCTTAGGAATCTGTGCATCTTGTCTAGGAGTGTCTTATAAATGTGGAAGATGCTTCCATCGTTCTGTCTCTGATTGGCAGTTCTAAAACTTCAAGTTCTTCCCTTTTTCATAGGCAAGGCACACCAGTTCCCTCCAGTCAGGAATAAATGCTGCAAAACCAGCATGTCCTGACAACATGAAGCACAGGAAAAAGCCAGATACCTACTGATTCATACTGGACTTTTCCATGTCCCACAGGACTCAAAACCAATGTTGTATATTTCAGCAATCTGTTCTTATCTAAAGAAACCAAATTATATCCTATTGTTAGGCAAAATAATTACCTGGGCAGGGAGACCAGCATTATTTGTTAGGGTATATAAATTATGATGGTGCCTTTTTTAGTTTCCATGATGCTTTCTACACTTGGGTCTGCAAATGATGTTAAACCATTTCTCAAGAAGGAACAGCATCCTAGAAAACCATTTCAAAGGAAAAGTTCAGGATTTAGAAAGGATCCTGGGTGCTTGGTCCATTGGGCTTCCTCAGTTTTGAATTGTCAGTTTAGTTGTCCCACTTTTTGGAGTGTTAAAATGGCCAGGATCCAATTAAGCACAAAACAATCACTAGTGTCCCATTATCTCTCTCCTACCCTCCTCCTTGTTTCTGCTTTGCAATCACTGATCTACCATCATCATCTGGATCAAAAGGAATAGTTTTTAACCCAAGGACACTATTAAGGTTTCTCATTCCAGAGAAATGGATTTTAAGAACATTACTGATGTTTAAGGGGAAAAATGTGCCAGACCTCAAAAAAACCACCCATATGCCAGCCACAGAACTCTGAAAGAGCTGAAATTGGACTCATTACCAGAGGACTGAGATTATATAATGGGGTGATCTTTTTAACATTTGCCTGAATCTGCACATTAAAAAATACCATCATTTGCAGCATTGTGTTCAGCTGAATCCACTCTGTGTTTGTGCAATCTGCAAATATTGGCTCTCCACATTTGCAGGATTTTGTTTCTCAATCTCATTACCCCCTTTTAGAATGATCTTGAATTTACAAAGGTATCATTTTTTTGAAGTGACACATCATTTGAATGGAATCTGTTTTCCTGTTAAATATGGAAACAGCCTGAGAGTTCAGACCTGTGAGCAATCTGAGAATCCCTGCCAGAGCCCCTGCAACTTCTGCTCTGAGGTTGTCTCTGATTGGTACCTCCACAAATCCTTTGATAGCTTCAGAGCTGTATTCATGTATTCATGACAAACAGAATTCACTCTGCCTGGCTTCAGGGAGCCACGTGGATCTTTTGTGATAATATGAAGGAAGGAGATAATGGGGGAGAGGTGCTGATAAAGGGAAGGTAGGAGTGTGTGAGGAGCAAACCTGACCCACTTCATGGGCTGAATGCTGAGCAGCCCTGCTGACGTCAATGCAGATTTTACTGTCCACCAGGACAAACCAGCACTACAACCTGCTTCAAAATAACAGTCTCTTCTACCTGATCTGCTTCAAGCACCTCTACCAGCCAGACAGCAGGATTTCTGCAGAGTTCTAGCTCAATCTGGCAGTTTTGTGGGGCTGGCAGTATACAGAGACAGGCTGACTAGTCCATCCTCATTAGAAGTGGATTTAATTTTCACCAATGCACACATTCCACTATACAGACAAGAAGCAAGTTTTATTTGATGACAGGAACTGAAATCCAGTCCCTGCAATCCCTTCAAATACCCCTACATGTGAAGGGTGCAACCCAGTCAGCTACACCTTTGAGAAGAACAAGGCAGGTTTATCTTGCCAGTGCTAAAACCAGATTTGTGGACAATCCAGTCAGCTACAACTTTGAGAAGAACAAGGCGGGTTTATCTTGCCAGTGCTAAAACCAGATTTGATCTCAAACCTGACTGAGACTGCCTGGCATGGCATTCTTCTGCCACAACCTTCTCAGTGGACATTTCATCTGATTAATACCTTCTTCTGTGTTACTTATGCCAAAATTTAAGGCTCCCAACTATCCAGTATCTTCTAGAACACAGCAGTCTAGCAAAGCTCTCACCTCAAGATCTTGTCAGTTACTAGGGCTGGAAAGCAAGATCCTTTGAATTCTATTTATCCTCTTCCTTTTAGAGCAATATTAACACAAAGCTATTAAATTTCAGTCCAATTTCCTTGTTTAAGCATAAAAGGGAGCAGTCTTATCAGCTCACATGTTTTAGGGACACTTTTGAACCTTAGTTTGTTCTCCTGGTAGCTGAAATCCAGACTCAACTTATGCACATTTCTGTATTTGACTAAAACCAGTTTTATTCTTAAAGAGTAGAAGACTCAGTAGAAGTCTTAGAAGCATCAGAATGAATCAAAAAGGTCCACTGGAAGTTAGGAAGAGCCTGGAATGGCCACAAGTATCTATGTGGATGTCAAAGCTGCCTGGAGTGATCAGCAAGGGCAGCCCCATGCAAGGCCTGGCACTGCAGAGCTTTCTATCAAAAGAACTCCTCAGTTACTGTGTTGTTTTTCAATTGCCAGATTAATTCAAATCACAGAGTAATTCTTGCTATCAGAGTTGGGATCCTGGCTGCCCTTTGTTCTTCCCCAGTTTGATAAATGAGCCATGAAGGATATGAGCCACTGGAAGAGACAGTTCCCAGGGATCTGCACAGCACCAGATAACTCCAAAATCACGGATAAACCACCCGGTGGAATTCATCATTTATGTCCTTTACAGAGAGAAATAAAACAACTGACTCAGCACAAATCACCACAAAGTTTCTACCTGCTACAACTTCCCTCCAGCTACTTCATCACCAAAAAGGGAGATGGGAATTATGAGCAATTTGATAAAGCTTGGCAGAGATACATAGAAGAATCAGACCATATGAACCCCTGCCACTTAATGGGATCATTTACATACAGACCACACATAATTAACTTTCTGTAAAACAGAGGTAGAGCACAAGAGGTGCTAAGAGGAGGAAAGAGCAGCTGGTGGAATCCAGTTAACTACCATTTGTCAGTACTTTTATTGGTGTCCATGAAGAGCCTGTGCCTTGAAATTCCCTGCGACAGAACAGTTCAGGTCTCTGACCTTTCCTTGGTTAATGGGTCTCCTGAGATGCCTCTGAAGGAGTGTTTGGTGACTGTGTCATTGCCTGCACTGCAGAGCTCAGGGAGAGGGGAACTTGCCTCCCCACACTGCTAAGGAGATGGAATCATGGAACCATGGAATGGTTTGGGTTGGAAGGGACCTTCAAGATCATGTAGATCCAACCCCCTGCATGGGCAGGGACACCTCCTACCAGCCCAGGTTGCTCCAAGCCCCATCCAACCTGCCCTTCAACACTGCCAGGGATGGGGCAGCCACAGCTTCCCTGGGCAACCTGGGCCAGGGTCTCACCACCCTCACACCAAACAATTTCCTCCTCATGTCTCACCTCAATCTCCCTCTTCCAGTTTTCATCCCTTCCCCCTTGTCCTCTCCCTCCCTGCCCTTGTCCCAAGTCCCTCCCCAGCTTTCCTGTAGGCCCCCCTTCATCCAGGAGAGGAATACAATCTCAGATGAATATCTCCAAAAAATTCCCTCATATTTAGCTCAGTTTCTCATTGTAAGTGGGGTCCCTGTGACTTGAAGCCCTCAGACACACTATATACAGTGGCATGTCAGTCATAAGTCATCAGGTGCTATGACTGTCAGCAGCTGCTAGAAACAACTGCAAGTCTGAAGTCAGAAATGAGAAAAGTAAGAACATTTCACAAATGGTAGTTTTGATGAACCTGCTAGATTAAAGCTCAACCAAGTTTCTCCCAGGATTTGCTGTAGTGTTGGAGAGAAAGGGGTGAATCTTTGTGACCAAGATGCTAAGCAGTTAAATAGGTGTTAACTTTACATTTAAAATCTTTAAGGACTCTGTCCTTACACTCCAGGGACAGAAGGAGTGCATCTTTTAGAGAGCTCCTGCCACATTTAACACTTTACTGCAATTTTATCCTTACAGAGGGCATTAGAGATCAAGCCACATTTTCAGTTTATCCATTTCAGGGAGGAAATTCAAGGCTGGAACAGCAGGGATCTACCACTCTGAAAGGTTTTATTACTTCACCTTTCTTAGCCTGACTGGCTCTTTGAACTTCCTTCTCCAACCTTGCAAGCTGACTCCTGTACAAACCAGCTTCTCACAGCCTTCCTTTCCTCTTCTCATGTTATTGACAACTGAAGTTTAATAATCCCTCCAAATCAAGATGTTTCCCATTTCAAGTGTCACTAAAGTCAGTATGCAAGGTTTTGTGCAACTGTGATGAGTTGACAACCAACAAAATCATTTCCATTGCCAGCAACATCTGCTCCATCTAAATTTATAATTAAAAAGAAATCATGCATGCAAACCCAAAAAATCAATAAGCTTCTATTCTGAGTTTTCCTAACGTTGAAAGAAGTTATTTGATTAACTCTGTTTCAACCTGAACATCTGGCCATGCTACAGCCATGTTATGACACCCCCAAAAAGTGGCTAGAACTCTGAGAGTGATTTCCTTTCTCCTGAAAGTATAACAGAGCTAATCCAGGAATTATTTTAGCTGTATGTACTGTGATAATACAAAACCACTATGTGTTTGCTACCACGTGGAGTCTCTGCACCTCACACACAGCAGGGGATCTGGGGCAGCTGAATTACTGCAACGGGCTTCATCAAAATCAGGTGTCACTGACCATCACTCTGAGTACCTGCTATCTTGATGTTCATGTTGCTGTCAAGCAGAAGGTTTTCAGCCTTCAGGTCCCTGTGCACAACCTTCCTGCCATGGCAGTACTCCACTGCTGAGAGGATCTGCCAGAACTTGCGCCGGGCCTCCGACTCACTCAGGCGGCCGTGGCTGGCCAGGTAATCTGTTGAAATAAAGAGTATTTCAGTGGATGAGACAGCAAACAACAACCCTGAAACCACATGATTTTCCCTCAAAATAATGAGCACATGGAAGATCTCTAAAGTCTTTCAGCCAGTCGCAGTTTCCAACCCTTTATTCTTGCATCCTTCCATGCAAAAATATGGACAAAGGAGTAAGAAAAATGTGTAATGAAACTCTACTCTCTGTTTCTTCTCTTCTAGTTGACTATTCTAGTAAATACTTTCATATAACACAGCTCCTGTGGAGTGGGGAATACTTGGGAGTAACTGGCTTCACCATGAGGTACTTCAAGCTTTAGTCTCTTAGCAGTTCATGCAAGCTTCAGGCCACACTTCTCCCTCTGAAGCCTCAAGAAAGGCTGTGGAGTGGCTGAAACTATTTTTTTTTCCTGGAATTAAAACAAATACCCATCAGGTACCCATCCTGAGCTCTCTTTGTCTTCACTGCATGACAAGCAGAAAGAACATTTTGTTTTCATATTTAATTGTGCTGTAAAAACCTCAACGTTAGCCCTGAAACCAAAGATTGCCCTGCAACAGAAAACTTCATTTATCCTCAGGAACAAAAACAAGTGAAGCAGCAACTGAGTGAGTCTTGACAGAAACAGCTTCTACAGCTAATTCTATTCCTTCTCTCACGAGGCATAAAATCAGAGAATCAGCTGTTTGAATGGTTTCAGAATTGCCTCCAACATCCTGCAAAGGATGGAGTTAATGGCCAAGGTACAGCAAACATACATAGATATGATACCCAGTGATCATGGCATAAACACACACATGCAGCAATCTCCAGCACCTTGCTGCCTCACAACTAGTAGTGAAGTTAAGCAAAAAACAGTGAGCAAGAACTAAACTGCTGGAGCTGCCACCAGCCCCTCCTAATTTTCATGTATAGAGGAAGTCATGTGCCCAGGAATTGTTCTTTACACACCAGCTGACACAACCATTTCTGCCTGAATTCAGTTAGCAGGTTAAAACAGCTGCTTTTGCAAGTTAGAAAGTGCACATTATGTAATGGAGGTGTTGAACCTACTTCTCTTTATTTATGAGAATCTCCCTGACAAAATCCCTAAGTAAAATGAGTAAGGGTATCTCCTGAGCTAGTCACATCATCTCAGTGATCCCAACCCAGTCATCTTGCCCAAAGCAAGGGCAGAGCACACCTAGCTTTGATGGGTTCTGGTTTGTTTGGGGTTTTTTTAAATAAAATATTGTTTATGGGTTTTGTAAATGCTTGCAATATCCAAGGGCTGGAGCACCTCTCCTAAGAGGACAGGCTGAGTGAGTTAGGATTTTTCAGCCTGGAGAAAAGAAGGCTCCAGGGAGACCTCAGAGCAGCTTCCAGGGCCTGAAGGGGCTCCAGGAAAGCTGGGGAGGGACTTGGGACAAGGGCAGGGAGGGAGAGGACAAGGGGGGATGGATGAAAACTGAAAGAGGGAGATTGAGGTGAGACATGAGAAGGAAATCGTTTGCTGTGAGGGTGGTGAGACCCTGGCCCAGGCTGCCCAGGGAAGCTGTGGCTGCCCCTCAAAGAACTAACCAAAACATTTTTAAGCAAAGCACGTTAGATCCAATCTCCGGAATACGCAACTCTCAAAACTCTACTCAGAGTTTCTAACCTACCTCAGCCTTCATACACTTTCTGCTGGTTTAACTTGGCAAAGCACAAGAATAAACAGAAGCCTGGCAGCAAGGGGAGATCGTATTATTTGCAAGCTAAATATCATTCAGGCACAAAGTGACTGACAAATCATATGATAAAGGTGAAGTCAGATATCAAAGGCACGAACTAAATCACGCTGAACACAAGCCAGCCCTTTAAGCTGCTAATCCATCATTTGTTAGCAATGCAGCAAACAAGTTAATGAATCTAAGCTGTCATTTGCTTTTATGGCTCTAGCCTGTCAGGGCTGTTTTTTAAAGATTCCAAACCACCTTGGCCTGAAGTGCTTCACCAAGCCTAGCAGTCTGCACGGAACAGGTTATTTATTCTCAAGTCTGCAGAAGCAGAACGTGCCATGGGCTGTCTCAAGAGATGATGGCAGGTGCAAGGATTCTGTTTGGGAATGAACTCCCTTGCAGAGAAGAAAGGCTGGGACCCAGGCAGTGTGCCAGCCCCAGGGGTACAGCTGGAAGTTGCTAGAGATGTTCTGCCTCCATAGCAAGAATCTGGGCAGTTTGATTGTTTGTGTACTAACCTCTGGAGCTAAGAACTATGACTCTTCAGCTTTTACTGCACATACCTGGATCAAATCAACCTGGTTTACTGAAATAGTGAAGCTTTAATAAACCTATCCTTTGGCACATCCTACCCTCTGGCTACATGTTTTTAGGGTGGTGGGGTTTTTTTTCATTTTTCTTTAATAAAAGAGAAACCAGAAGCTCTCTTAGACTCAGCTGGCTCCACAGCAGAAAAGAGCAGGAATTTTTTCACAAGGCAGCTTTCTATCCAGCCTTTTCAGTACTCCAAAGTTGATTTTACTGGACAATTGAAAGGTTAAGATGGTATTTGCTTCAAAATATGACTCTGAGATACTGTCTGACAAAGCCAGTGCTTTTCATGTCAAATACAGTCCTCCTTTTATGCGGAGAGTTGTACACATGTTAAATTTGTTATGTTAAGGCTCTGTGAAAGAGGCACATACACACCACAGGGAATACACTGAAGGGTCATGGAGATGATGAAGGGACTGGAGCCTTAACCTGCAAGGGGAGGCTGAGAGAGCTGTGGGTGTTCAGCATGGGGGAAACAAGGTGCAGATGGAAATCTTACTGTTTGCATCCATACTTGACAGGGGGAAGATGACAAAGCCAGACTCCTCTCAGCAAAGGGACAAAGGGCAAAACATAGGAAATTCAATTTAAACCTAAGGAAAAGGGTTGGGTTTGTTGTTTGTTGGGGTTTTTTTGCAGGGGGTAGAATGCTGGCAGAGGTTGGCTAGAGACTGTAGTCTCCATCCATGGTCCTGAGCAACCTGCTCTTGGCTGACCCTGCTCTAAGCCACAGGGCCAGGCTAGACATTCTCTACAAATGCCTTCCAACCAACCCTTCTGTGATCTGGGTTCAGTGTAAGCCACTCAGGACATCACTCAGCTGGTTCCAATTTAGTAAGGAAAAATAATCCTTGATTAGGGGACACACTGTGTTTGTAACCTTACGAATGCCTATCAACAGAAGCAGTAATAATCAGAAGTTCAACTAAGGAAATCTGCTTTAAACATTAGTAAGAATCTTTATAATTAGAATAAAAAAAAACCAAAACAACAAACAGATCCTTAATACTTTGTCTAGAAAGGTTACTGAATATCTCTCTCTCTCTAGGGATATTTCCAAGAATGATACAGCTGATCCTGCACCATGGTTGGGACATCAGAATGCTGCTCAGCCCCATCCCAGTTCAGCTTCCATCATCTCTGCTGAAAACACTTATGGAATCATCCAGGACCAAGTGCCAGGTAAGACTAGGCTCCTACAGGTACAGACAGAATTAACTATTAATACTCTAATGAATCAGAGATATCTGAATGTCCCCTTCCTGTGGAAGCTTTTCTGGAGTCACTTTACACTTATTCTTCAGTTAAACAGACATAAGATGCTGAGAAGCTGATGTTGTAAGCACAGAGTCCTGTGCACTATCATACATGTCTCCTAAAGGCTTAGTATTTATCCTGAAATACTCCAGAAAACTTATGTCTTCTGTATCAGCTGTGCTGGGACACTGCAAAAATCCAAAGGACTAGTTATGAGAGAATCTTGTTCTCAGTAAAATTCAGTCTGAGGAGTAAAGAACACTACTTTGGCTTCCCCATTGAGTAGAACAAGATCCAATAGAGAATTTAGGTCACTTTGGTTAAACTGTGCCTAGGTTACTACATGTTTCCAAGACAGACACTTGGAAGAATGTCAGGAAAGCTGGAGCAGCACTGTTAAACCACAGCACACTTGGCATGACTGGCTGCTGGAGGTACTCAATGTAGACCTGCCTTCACTTCTACCTGCTGGTTTCTGTAAGAAATGCTTTCTTCAAATATTTACCAGCCTCTCTGCAAGTTCAGTGCTTTGCTATTCCAAAGTCAGATTTACTTCTCTTGACTATGCATGTGTGGAAGATGAGACCCACCAGAGTGTCTGGGCTGATCAACCTTCTGTACAACCACTGGGCAGACACTGGGAATGATCAACAGCCTCTTCCAGAAACAGGCTTAAGTCCCAAGAGAGAACTGAATAAAGGAGCCTATTTTGCATTTCTGTGCATTCCACAAAAGTAATTTAAAAAATAGGGTGGTGGATGTTCTGGTTGGTAGGAAACCAACATTTTGTTTCCATTGTGAATGCTTTTGAAAATCTCTGAGCAATCTTACAGTTCTCCCCAGCAGAGCAGATAGATTCCGTGTAAGAGCAGGAGTATTAGCACAATAATAGGCCTTAGAGGTGGGGGGAAAAAATTACAGAATAACCCAGACAACAAGAAGGAACTTTGAATATTTGAGTTCTGTTTCCATGAAACCCATCCCCCTGCCCCTGCAGTGTAAAAAAGACCCAGCTCAGCCAGGCTCCACCTCTTCTGCACTCCCATCACCAGGATGAACTCTATTCCATTGCCCTCAGTTCATCCTGCAAGTCCAGTTCTGGCACTGCAACTCAAATGCATGTTGAAAGCTCTAAGTGCCTGGGTATCAAGCATAAAACTCATTACATTAGCTTTCAGTAGTCAAGAAAGGTTGTTACTTGAACACCTCAGTCCAATTCCTAAGCAAAGCAACAGGACCTGCTATGTATTAAACAGCTGAAAAGATTTTACCTTTGAGGATATTCCCATTCCTCTGCAATTTTTCTGTTCCTTTCCTCTTTTACTCTACTAGACATGGTTAGACTAAGTCATGGAAAATAAACTCATTGTCCTGAATACCAAAACACTGCTTTGCTGGACCATTTGCTCTTTACCTGGCACTCGTTGGGTCCTGGTTTGAGCAGGGCACTTGGAGAGCTCACAGAAAAACCAGGAGCTTCTTTTACCCTCTGAAATTCTGTTTCTGCTGTTACCTTGTTTCTGCTTCCTCCTCCAAAAACATATCTGACAGTGACAGATACACAGCAGAATATCTCATCCCTAAGTACAAAAGGCACTCTGAGAAATGATCTCAATAAGGCCAAAAAAAAGATTTAGAAAAAAACCTGTAGAGAAAGTCTCCAATAATGGCCCCAGAAAGATTCCTTAATTAGTTTAGTGAGGAAACATTTTTACTTTGATCACTAATGCACATTTTGAAGTTCAAGGCACGAACACAGGTCAAAATTAAAAGCTTTTAACTACTTACTGTGATATTTCATGTTTCTTTGTGGCCTACAAGGAAGTACTACTATTTATAGCCAATTCTGGGGAAAAAAATCAGCCTGTCCCTCCTTGAGAGGACTTCAGTGCTCCTCTAGCCTCAGTAGCTTAGAAAAATCTTTAAGAAGAACTGGGGACACATGTACAAGGTACAGTCATGGGGAACAAAATGCCCCAGAGAACCAACCATGGCACAGCAATGACAAACAGGAGATTTTCATCCTGCAGGATTACAACAAATACTGAATTTCACACAAATTTAAGTCCTGCTTGAGTCACAAGTTTGAGCCAAGGAACAATTAATGTGAATTTGACCATGCAGGTCAAGTGGCAGCCTAACATTTTGATGATGAGTGTTACTCTAAGTCACCCTGACACTCCCTCCTGCCCATCCATATTCTTCCTGAAATATTAAATAATCATGTCTGTATAACCAGTACCTAACTGCACATGAAACAGATTCTTCACTTACCCAAAATACTGTTTGGGCCACTGTTCATTATTAGCTACAGAAGAGGGATCCTTGGGCAGGAGAAATAAAACTGACAAACTTCAGAAGTTAACATTCAAATGCTGAACATGAAAATATTCTTTGGCTTACCAAAAATTTCTCCATTTTTGGCAAATTCTGTCACAAGGTACAACATGCTCTTGGTCTCCATCACCTGTTGAGACAGAAATCACAGATGAGATTGTTTGCAGAAGAGCAAAAAGGAAACACGAATACACATGGAGACTTGTGGGTGAATTGTGGGGCTTCCACAATGAGAAATCACAGATGAGATTGTTTGCAGGAAGAGCAAAAAGGAAACAAGCATCCACATGGATGGACTTGTGGGTGAATTGTGGGGCTTCCACAATCCAGAAACTCGTGCTGTGGACACAGAACAGTGATGGGCACTTTATACAAGCAACTAGTGAGACAGTTTGGTTGAAGGCTATTGAAAATATAAACTTACTTATCTACCAATTGCATTCCTAACAAGCCAATCAATCCCTTACTAATAAAAGGGTAACCACTATGTAACAATTACCCTTGTCTTCAATTGAACTTGATCATCTCCAGACTTTATTTAACTGTTCTCAGACTCTGCCAAGCTCTGGTCTAACATTTCTGTGTGTTGTCATTTCTTCAGAAGGAACTGTGGCAGATATTCCTCAAACTAGTCAGAATTGTAACTCCCTGAGGTCCACCTCTTCCTTGGTGAATCAGTATTTTAAAGAGGAAGTGCCAGTGTCCCTCCCACACAAGGAAATTAAAGCTAAACAACTCAAAACTGGGATCTTCCCCTTTCTTCAGTAGGACACCAGCACTGGTCCAAGTCCCTGTGCTCAGGTTGCCTTTACAGACAATTGAACTTGAATTCAAAGTTTGGTTTTAGCATGCACAAATCTTCATTTGTTGAGCTGGCTTTATCTGAAACAAGCAAGAACATCTCAGAAGCACCATGTGATGTGTTAAACAGAACTGACCCCAAAGGGGATACTCTCAGGCAGGCCTCAAAAGCAAGAGTTAACTGAAGCAGAAATGTCAGCAGCCTCAAACATTTTACCCTATTAGCATGAACAGAAGATGAAACAGAAGAGAAATTACAAAACAAACCTATATTTTACTACATCAACCATTCAGACTAAAAGAGTCACCAGTAAAAACCTGCAGAAGTTTTCATTGTCTGCAACTGTGTTATCACAAGTCCAGGTCACTCTGTGTAAGTGCACATTGTTGCATTATAATTATTAGTCATTTGTTATAAAGGGATGCATTCAATTCCACAATATAATTCATTTTAGGATTAATTATCCATTTGTCCATGTCCACAACAGAAGTGAAATGCAAAATTCCAATAAAAATGAACCCCAAGAACTAGTCAGTCTCCTAGAAAATGCACTTCCAGGTAATGTGTTTGGCAAGTCCCTACCTGGTGTATGCATCCTCATCACAGGCACATCTGCAGAACCTGAATGTACAAATTCTTGTGTCTTATCATCTTTGAATATGTAAAAAGAGACTGGAAGTGCTCCTCATTCTGCACTGAGCCAAGATCCAACTGAAGAAACCCACTATATCCACACAGATCCTCCCTGCAGACACATTATGCTGAATATTCCTGCCCTGCTTGAGCTGATATGGACCTTGTCTACTAACACCAGCATTTCCCAACTCATCTTTAACAGATTTTACAACCTTTGAATATTTTATGCAGATTTCAGGCACACTTGAGTCTCTAACCCAGCTCAATTGGTACCATAGAATGAAAAGGACCACAACTTTCAAAAAGTTAAACACTTATCAAGGCAAATCAATCCCAAAAAAGCTGAGTTTGTCACAGACTGGTGATCTACCAGAAGTCTCTGGTGCAAACTCTTCACACAAGAGCAAAAGAGAGAAGGGAAAGGGAAAACATCCCACACTTCTTACCATACCTGGTAGAGCTTTATAATGTGTGGGTGATCAAGCATCTTCATTATCTGCACCTCTCGGTAGATCTTCTCCAGATTCACAGCATCTAGCTGAGATTTGTCAATGATTTTTATTGCCACCTGCAGACAAACAGCAAAAATGAGATAAAAACTCCTCAATATTTTCCTGGTTAATTGATCCTCTTAGAGAAAGGGAATACTAAAACCCCAGTTAACTGGGAGCTTTCTTCCAGCTCAGGAATTCACATCCCACACTTCAAAATACAGCAGCTCAACATTAAATATGTCAGTGGTCCCATCAAGTAGCTGCAAGACTCACCTACAGCTGAATGTCAGAAAGAAAGTCTTACAAGAAATGGAAGCCTAGAAGAGGTGCTAGAGGCCAGTGCTCCAGTGAGCCCAGTGCTCCAGTGAGCCCAGTGCAGAATGCTCTTACACCAGTAGCAGTGGGAACAACCAAGGACTCCCCAGGGAACACAGTTGTAAAGACAAAAATATTCTTTAAAAGACCAGTGATAACCTATTTCCTGAGCTGATTTGAATGGAAAATTATTTCAAAAAAATCTGTTGGCTTACCACAAATAATTAAAACAGGGCAGATTTGTGCAGTTTCAACTGTTCCATACTTATTTTAACTGTAATGAACATGCCACTACATAAAGACACCTGCAATTTATCTGCTTGGGAAAAAAAACCCAGTGCAAACTGTTTATCAAACCTTGCAAACAGATCTCAGTTTAGAAAACTGATCTTGGTCCTACTGACCTTTTTAACCATTACCTGCAAAGTGAAGCTCAGATAACTACACATGCTTAGACTAAAAATGTCAAAAAGAAAGAGATTTTCAAACTCCAACCAAGAAAGAAAAATATAGCTGCTATAAAACAATGCAAAGGATAATACCCTAAAGAGTATTGAATATCTAAATGGTGGTTATTCACCCTGAATATCACATTAATAGTGCAGAAGCAGGAGCAAACAATATAAGTCACAGAAATGTTTCCAATTATAATTGCATTTCACAAACTATTGAACTGTAGGAGACAGCTGCTGTGCAGGAGACAAAAACCCACAGGAGGTGAGCCTCATTATCTCCAGTCAGACTGACTATGAAGCCCCCTGAATTCAGATTTACCTATTTATCACCTTCACTCCAGGATGCTTTTGCTAGATACCCCCTTCAACAGTCCCTCGTCTTTCCCAGCCACCAGAACAATAAGATTCTGCTGTGAATGAACAAACTGATCTGGCCTTGCAATCAGTGGAGAGCTGGGTTCTGTTTCCAAGCTGCAGGATGCACTTGTACAGAGAAGCAGAACAAGACTATTTGTCCAAAACAAACAATTTAAAAACCATTTTTCAACAGCTAGGTGTGTTTGTTTGTTTGTTTGTTTTTAACCAATGTCTAGTTAACTAGAACTCACTAAAACCAGATGTTTGGGCAAAACCCAATGCACAGTTCAAGGAGTATCAATCTCTACAGCCATGAGGGAACAAGATGAAGAAGGGAAGGGCAAGAGAAGAACAGCAACATCATGGGACTGGGAAATCCAGATGCACACGCTTCCCACTCGGTCTTGACTTGCCCCCTCACTCTCTCTGCAGGTCCCTTTCCCTGCTTACACAGCATCTCTCTGCACAGCAAGATGCCTCCTTGTTTGGGCTGATTTTGTGCCACGTGGAGGATGCAAACAATCACTCATGCCGGTTCAGGAATAACACCCCACAAAACCCATACCTTTAAGGCTCCCTGGCCCAATTTAAGACCACATCTAGTAAAATAACTTTATTGTTTGGGTTTTTTTGCAGGCACAGTTTATTTGCCTAAGAAGAAATCACTTGGCTAGAAAGTTACAAAATGTCAGTATAATCAAACCAAGCCACTAAAGCCAGACCAAATTCTTAAACATACAGCAGGAAATATTTATTGTTATTGTTAGAAACAAGCCATGTGTCACATTTCTCCACTTCCTCTAATTTTGTGCTGTCTCTCTGGAATCAACCAGAAACACAAGCTGGTTTCTCCCTCGTTCTCCACCTCCAGCCCAGTCTATAACCAGTTATTTGGATGACTTCCAGATTTAAGGGAAGTGGAGCCCACTATTTCTTACTTCCAAATCCATGAAAAGATAACAGAAATATCCATTTCCCTAGAAAAGCCTGGATAACTCCTTTGAATGGCTTCAAAGATTAAATACTTCCATTCCTACTTCAGTTTCTTAATCGTCAGTGCCTACTGTAGTTATGTTTCCCAAGGATAATCAGACTGTGCAACTATATAATCACTTCAGTTGCTAAAAAGTAATTTTATATGAAGTAAAAATGTGGAAAAGCCATTTTTCATCTTGACATGGTTAAAATCCTTGGACAGATCTTACTTTCTTGAGCAGCAACCAGTAACATTTCATTAGAGAAAAGGAGCATTAAAAAAGAAACATAAAAAAGAAGGGGTGGTATAATTTTGGGAAGGAGGGCTACAAATCCTGCTAAACCTTCACCACACTTTCTGGCCAACAGAAGTGCTTCATGTTCCAATGTTCCCTACTTTCTTCCTTTTCCAGAAGTTTCCTATCATATCTCCTGCACACATTTAGAAATATAATTCTCAAAGATCAAACCCAAATCCTTCTTCTGAAAGGTTGGGAGCATGAAAACAAATCTTCAAGTCACATATTTCTTGGGGCAGAAAAATTCTTTCAATAGTTTTGATACAGTTCCTTACCTGTCCAGACCACAAGCAGAAAGGAATCACAGATTTAGAACAAGTCACAGAAGGTTAACACTGCAAAGCCCAGAGGAACATTCTACATTGTCTATACAATCACCCACCTGCCCTCAAAATTATAACATGAACATATCACTGATGAAAATGTTCTGCCTTTACAGCTTTTGAGTCTGAAAAGATGTACCTGAATGCCCAGTGTGTAAACAAAACAGTGCATCTAGGAGCTGGAGGAATACTCCCACCAAAATCTTTTCATTAAGATATCACCAGATAATAATGACAGCACTAATAAAATGCTCTTTATTAAGCCAGACAATACTGAACTCCTGCAGCAACTACAGAGCTAGAAAAATTATGTTTATAGGTGATTTGGCAAAGGCTGGAAAACAAATTGTTTTGAGTGCTCCAGAATGAGCCCCTGTCTCAGGATGCTGTTTGGAACTTCTGTAAGAGATGCATTTTGTGCTGCTACATCCATAATCTGTTCAAAAAAGACCAAGAAGGCTTCATTCAGATCACTCAACTGACAGTGATCACTAATATATTATCACAGAATCATACAATCATTCAGGTTGGAAGGGACCTTAAAGATCAAGTTCCAACCCCCCTGCCATGAGCAGAGAACCCTCCCACTAGACCAGGTTGCATATTCCTAAGTGTGTGTTGAGCTTGGTCTCACAGAATGGTTTGGGTTGGAAAGGACCTTAAAAATCATCTAGATCCAACCCCCCTGCACTGGAAGGTATTTTAAGCAATTCTAAGCACAGCTCTACATTACTTATGAATATTTTGAGATGCAAGAGGAAGAGATGCAAACTAAGGAAGAACAAGCTATATTTCCAGCTTAAATAATTTTTTGATTTAAAAAACCCAACACATTACATCAAACCACATTTCTTCTTACAATGTGCAGTTGTTTGGTACTATTAAGTGGTTGCTTTTGAACAAGGACTAGAGGCATGTGCTTGCCTGAAGGAAAAGAAGTTGCTCTTTGCAATCCTTGTACAACTCTCAGGGTGTGTAACAGACACGTTCACCCTTCTATAGGAGAAGCAGCAGAGAGGCAGGTGGCACCACTGCAAATGCAGATTAGGGATCTTCATCTATTCTGCATCTTCAGTTTTCAAGCATCTTGCCACGGCCATAGAAGATATGGAGAAAAAAAACCACAACACTTGGAAATACTTAAAATCCAGCAACTTCTCCATAATGATGTGAGAAGGAACAGGGCATTCAGCAGCAGCAGCTGACTTTTGTCCAGAGTCTCAGCTGTGTCATGATGACAGGAAAAAGGGAAGTAATTTTTAGAGGTGGAGAAGCTGCTTCAAGATAGGGAACAGTGTCCTATCTGAAAAGTGGTTTGTTCCTGAATATCCAGCTTGCCAACAATTACCAGCATCTTGCAGAGGTGTTGGAAAATCACTACTCTTTAGAAGGCAGTGCACACTGACTGCACACAGTTTTGCAACTCTAGCTCTGGCTTTTTTATAATAACCAAAAAACAAACAAACTATCCTAACCAAACATCATCATCTAGTATTACTACATCCTTCAAAATACAAGAAAAAGAGAGGGAAGTGTCATTTTCCCACTGAATTACTCCCATGCCCCAAATTCTGTGTCCTACAGCCCAGGGAGCTGCTGTGTCCACTGGTATCACCCACTTGTGCACGCACCTAACAAACACCTAAACTAATCTAACTAACATCACATCTTGTACCAGGAGCTGGTAATTTTCAGAGGAGGGTGCAAACCACCCGTGTCATCCCAGAGAGCTAAAGCCTAACTGAACTGTAAGGACATCTAGACAGAAGAGTTTTACTGTCATCTGCAGAGCAATGGCTGGTGTTCTTGTGTGGATGGTGAATCCTCAGGGGGGATTAGTTACAGAGCCTTGGGGACGGGTGGGGAACACGACTCTCTCACATAACCTGTTCATAAAGACTTTCCTTCATCCTCAGAACACATGGCTTTTTCCCTAGTAGTATTCCCAGAGCAGTTTCTTACAGTTCACTATTTCACACATCATCCTATTTCACTAGAAGCCAAGATCCATCTTTCTAGAACTTGATGCTTCCAATTACTTTTGTTCTCTTAGCTTGGTCTCCTCCTGAGGAGAAATGCAGCTTACTTGTGAGTGCCTCGTTAAGAGAAGTTACCCTGAGATCACAGGATTTCTCTGCAACAGGATAAATCAGCAAGGCAGGGAGGCACGTGTCAGGAACTTGAATGGCAACAAACACAAAAACAAGGAGAAAAGCAAAGGTCACAATTCAGCCATTCAACCCTCTATGGGCTGTCATTAAAAAGGGTCATGCACTATCTCTATTACTAAAAATACATATTATTTCCCCCTTTTTTCATAACTTTCATGCCTCTTCCTGCTTCCTTAGTC